AGATTCTATGTATGAGATCATCCACTATCTGTCTTTCTGTGCCTGACTTACTTCACTTAGCAAAATGTCATCCAGGTTTGTCCATGTTGTCGCAAATGACAGAATTTCCTCTTTTTTAAGGCTGAATAAGTAATATTCCATTATGTATATATACGACATTTTCCTTATCCATTTGTCAAAGGACACTTAGATCTCTTCTAGATCTTAGCTATTGTGAATAATGCTGCAGCCAAGAGCTGTTCCCTCTTCTTGAAGAAGATACAGCATGGTCTCACCATGAGAATGCCACATCTTTTTGAGATACTGATTTCATTTCTTTGGCTACATACTCAGAAGTGGGACTGCTAGATTATTTGGTAATTCCATTTTTAGTTTTTTGAGGAGCTTTCATACAGTTTTCCAAATTTTCCTCACAGCATTTGTGAGAACAAATGTTGTATCCTCACATGACAGAAGACAGAGGAGCAAAACAGGGCCTGACCTAGATCCCTGCAGCACTTTGATTAAGACACTAATCCCTTCATGAGGTACTCAATCACTTTCCAAAAGGCACCATCTCTTACTACTACACAATGAGGATTAAGTTTCAATGTGAAGTTTGAAGGGGATACAATGAAACTGTAACAAGGTCCTTTGCCCATTTTTTAATCGCTCTGTTTTCTTGCTATTGTGTTGTTTGAGTTCCTTATATACTTTGGGTATTAGCCCCTAATCTGAGTAAATGAAATCCTAAGTGACTTCAAAAACTTGCCTTTTAGATAAAATGTTATTGTGTATATTATGAAAGGTCTTAATGATTTAAATCTATTGACATATAACCACAACAACTTTTCTTGTATCTAGTAGTTTCAATTTAATTTTTTTCTAATTGTCACTTCCTAGCTTAAAACAATTTTATGAGTTTGTTCCATTTTCTATCTCCCTGCCTTTTCTTTGTCAAATATAATATTTTTCTACCATCTCTGAAATCTCTTTTGCTAGTATTGTCTTATAAAAACAGTATGTATGCATCCCTAAAGAATTGTAAAAGCAAAGACAAAAGCGGGGGAGGGAAGCAAAGTCCTACTTTGTCTTTCTTCATCATGTCTATGACAAATGTAATTGTCCTGAGTCTGAGAATGTGATAGCTCCATGGCTGCATCCTCTGTCTCCCTTTGTTTTTTACTCTGTGTGTGTGTGTGTGTGTGTGTGTGTGTGTGTGTGTGTGTGTGTGTGTGTTTAAAATCTGTATCTTCCTTACCATGGGATTCTAGCACTGGAATAATTTGCATGGTCAAGCTATGTCCATAAGAGCCACTTGGCATTTTTATTTCACTGTTCAAAATGGACAGATTTAAGGAAATGTGATTTTAAAATGCTTTGAGTTTACTTTATTGACTCCCGCCCTGTGAAGGCAGTGAAATAGTCATGAAGCATTTCTCATTGAACATCAGCACTTCTTCGATTAGTTCCTTCATAAAAATATAGCCTAAATGACTAGCCCTTTATGCTACTGTAGGAACAAGTTTATGAAACGTAACTTGGTAACAATGAAGAAACCCTGGCAAGTCCTGGTATGGGGAGGAAAGTGAAAAACATAAGGTGTTGTGCATATTGTCACTCTAGCCTGTATTCCTCATTAAAATAAGTAGAAATTGGGATTTATTCAACAGAAAAAGAGGCATTTGCATATTCAAGATTGGAAAGCCTAAATCTAAAGCTTTTAGAAGTAGCAAACATCTAAAAGCATATTTGCATAGATCCAAAGCAAAAAAAAATAGAAGTTTGTAAATTCTTTTACCAAATTACCTAAAATCTTATTTTTTAAAAAATAAACTGGATTCTATTATTGGATTCTAATTATTTCTTAACCAAAAATATAAAGAGTTTGGGTTCTTAACATACATTATAAATACGTGTTGTACTGATACGAATCTATTTTTTCAAAGGCAAACGACCCAATAGGAAAATGGGTCTGGTAATTCACAGAAGAGGAAATCCAGTAAACCTGTGAACAAAACCTCATCCTCGCTCATATTCAGGGAAATGTAAATTCAAATCATGGTGGTTTATTTCTTACCTATGAAATTAGCAAAAATTTACAAGTATAATAACATCACATTTTGACAAGGATGTAAAACAGAGAAATTTCAGACCTGCTGTGGAAATGTAAACAGATAAAAACACTTTAGAAAACAGTCATCTTAAAGATGTGCAAATTCGAAGACCCAGAACTGCCAACTCTTGGTGACACACTATAGAAAAACCCTTGTTCAGATTCCCTAGGAGACATGTGTAAGAATGTCTGTTGCAACATCATTTATAACAGGGAAAAAAATAATCCCAAAACAGGAAACCTGAAAACAAACTAAATATCCTTAAACAAAATTGTAATGTGTCCTGCAATGGGGTACTACACAATGATTAAAAGACAGGAACTAGAGCATACATGTAGATAAATCTTAAAAACATGTTCTGTGAAAAAAAAGTTTAAAAAGAAAGCCTTTCATTAGTTTTTATATAAAGTGTAAAACCTAGAGAATATACTTCTGGTTTTGTTTTGTTTTGTTTTGTTTTTTTGACATGGAGTCTTGCTCTGTCACCCAGGCTGGAGTGCAGTGGCGCGATCTCGGCTCACTGCAACCTCCACCTCCCAGGTTCAAGTGATTCTCCTGCCTCAACCTCCTGAGTAGGTGGGATTACAGGCATGTGCTACCACGCCCGGCTAATTTTTGTATTTTTAGTAGAGACGGGGTTTCACCATGTTAGTGAGGCTGATCTCGAACTCCTGACCTTGTGATTCGCCTGCCTCAGCCTCCCAAAGTACTGGGATTACAGGCATGAGTCACTGAGCACCCGGCTACACTTCTGCATTTTTATGGTTACATACCTTTGTATATGAATAACAGTGAAAAGGAATGAGATGAGCACGTACATGTGCAGAGAATTTCAATTTATTTATATTTTATTTCTTAAATTTTTCTTAAATTCCTGTTAGATACATGTTTCTTACATATCATTCAATATGACTTTATATATAACTGAAATTTTTTTAGAAAAGAAGAAAAATACATCATGCTTTTATTTTTTGAAGTGGTCTAGTCACTAAATATCATTTGTCAGGAAGTCTATTAGGTAATTTACATATTGCAGTAAATACACAGAGGAAAACAACTTTGAAAGAAATAAAAACTTTCGATATAGTTTGTCTTAGCTCAGGCTACCATAACAAAATACTATAGATTGGGTGACTTCAATAGCAGACATCTATTTTCTCACAGTTCTGGAGACTGGAAATCCAAGATCAAGGTGCCAGCAGAGTTGATGTCTAGTGAGGGCTCTCCCCTAGGGCTGTGGATGGCCACCATGGCCTTCCCTTGGTACTTGCATACAGTGTCTCCTCTTATAAGGGCACTAATCCTATTGGATATATGCCCCACTCTTATGACCTCATTTAACCATTATTACTTATTTAGGAATCCCATTTTCAAGTACAGCTACACTGAAGGTTAATTTTGAGTGGACATATTCAATCCATAACATAGTTGATAGTCCCCTTGGGTAAAAGTAATAGCTGAGTAAGAAGTTGTAAATAAAAGCTACCTGAAGCATTTTTGACATTTAGCATTATCAGTACACAAATAATAGGTTTGGAGATGTAGACTCCTTTCTAAAATCTCAAAATAGGTTTCTTTTCTCCTTCTTCCTTTTCTGGGACTTCTCAGATTGTTTTGTTTTGTTTTGTTATAGCTGAGGTTTAGAAATGAATCTTGTCATTTTTAGATCACTCCACATGTTCATGCCACTTTTCTTGTTCATTTTTCCATTCATGTACTCTGCTTTTTACTTGTCATTGTTTTCTTCTATTTTGATGGTTTTTGACTTGGAATTTGTTTTTGTTGTTTGGCTTTTAATTATTACAAAAGACTCTAAGATATTACATATAACACTCATAATTTCTGGACATCTTTTTTTTAATTTACGATAATGTTATATAATCTTAATATAGTCTCCATAGTTATCCATTTTCTGGTTTTGTAAAAAATTATTCCCCTCATTCTACAAGATTTTTGTATTCTGCAATTACATTGGTGTTATATGAAATACATTTATCACCTAATTTAATCAGATCTGTTTCATTTGCCTTCACCCATTTGTCTTATTGTACGTGTGAAATTTGGATAATTTGCATGTGAAACTAGAACAGTAAGGAGTCATACATTTTCAAGAATGCAAGAGAATTCCAAGAATGTTTTTAAAATGCTGGCAGAAGGTTCGGCAACATATCTTTTTAGGTAGCCTATTGCTAAGGTACCCTTAGAATGGAAGTCCTTTGACGCAGGATCAACCATATTGCATTGGTACATGGTACCTATAATAATGCTATTAAGGCAATAATTGCTAAATAGGTAAATATATTTTAATTGATTTGCTGCTTTGAGTCAATAAAGTTGAAGGAACTAAGAACTCTGCTGCTTTGGAGAGAAGCAAGATAGCTGCATTTTTTAGAATACCATCTGAGAAGCTTCAGAGAAGAAATATTTCTTCATAGCTCTGCTGCTTTCAAAAAGGAAAAAAAAACTATGCACATATACAGTTCATTCATTGTGATGAATGGGAAAGCTGGCAGCATTACTGAGTGGGCATGAAAAGGGGAAGCCAAGGTGTGCAGTTTCCATGCTAGGTGCCTAACTGTTCAGCTGGTGACATACCTGTCGAGGTATCTCTTAAGGCCTGGTCCCAACTCAGGGGCAGTTACACCTGATAAAGAGCTCTGAAGCCATTTGGTTTTATGACAAGGGACCTAGTTAAAGAGGTTGGCCTTGATTGCCATCCTGGGAAGGAATATAGGAAATATGTGGACACCGGCGGGAGAAAGCTGGAAGGATGTGGCAGCAGAGGCACATTGGGTTGTTTTAGTGAGTTAAAGTCATTCAGCACAAGGGATTTTTTGTAAATATGCTGTGCTTTGTTACTGACTTGCTTTTTTGAACACTAAATGGCATCACGATTTCCTGCAGGAGGAGCAACTGAAGTCACATGAAAGTAAGCTGAAGCAGATCACCACCGAGCTGGCCGAGCACCGCTCATATCCCCCCGACAAGAAGGTCAAAGCCAAGGACGTCGATGAGTACAAACTGAAAGACCACTATCTGGAGTTTGAGGTGTGTTGCACCCAAATGTTAGTAAATGCTGATTTCTGAGTTATCTTAGGATCTGTCCGTGAGGCGGTGTCTTTCTTTGCAGTTACTGTCACTGAGAGAGGCGTGCCTTGCCCCTGGCTCTAATTTGGGAGCTCCTGGCAAGGTCAAAGTGGTCCCTCTTGTTTGTGATTCTGTGTAAGTGCCAAACAAACATCAAAGAGTAACTGCCAGTTTATACACTTAAAAGCAAATAGCCTGCCTGGTGGGAATAGTGTGCGCCCGCTGTGAGGGGAAGAAAAAGCACAGTAGAGGGACATGCCAGGGTAGACAGCTGCTTTCTGTGTCCCTGTGTCTCTTCCGGCAGAATCGGAGTCAAAAAAAGCACAAGGGAGGAAATGAGCCACAGAGGGATGTAAGGCATCAGCTTTTCGCTGCACATTCTTGCTGTTCGGCAACAACATGCATTTTTCTTCTTGCCACCCACTGCCCTTCAGAAGGGGGCTGATAAATTAAGTTGTGGCACATCCAGCTATACAGTGAGTGTGCTTATTAAAAAGAATGGTAAGGATCCATATGCTCTGGCCTAGAAAAGTGTAAAATTTAAACACACATTGAAAACAGTGTATTTCCAAATATTTCCGTGGCTCACTTTTCTTCCAAATTAATATCAGGGTTAGACTGCCTTAGCCTCTACCTTCAGACATTTAAAGTGTTTTTTTAAAAAAGTGGGTAGCATGCAATACAAAATCAAAAGAATTAATTATTTTGACTAATTTGGCCTTTTTTGGTTTTTTTTTTTTTCTGTTGAGTGTGCTGAATCTGCCGTTAGCCGTTCGTGTTCACTGTAGCTCTGATCCCTTTTACTTCTCAGCTTTCCTCTCCTTTGTTTTCATCTTACCATCTGATTTCCTCCTCAGCCTTGAAATTTAAAATCTGCTAAGTGTCCACATCCTAGCGGTCAGTCTTTGCGGCCTCTCACACCTGTCCCTTCCTCGCGTTGCTTTATAACTACTTCCCCTGCTGAGCCCTGGCTTTCTCCTCTCTCACTCTGCCCTCCTTTCTTCAGTTCATCCTAAATCCTTTGGCCAGTTGTTTTTCTGAGGTTCAACCCAGATGACTGCATTCCTCTGCTCAACAGCTGCCTGTGGCTTCCCCCATTCCCCTCCCCCATTACCTCCTGAAGAAAGTCTCAGTTCTTTCATAGGAGAGGATTTGGCCTCTCCACATGTCCACGACCTCCGTCTTTCCCACACCGGCCTCCCTACGTTAGTCACATTTCTACCCACTCTCCCCAAACACACGTTTATACCTTTGTTCACTTACTTTCTTCTGCCTCGGATGCCCTTCCTATCATCTTCATTTCTGAAAGTCCTGTTCGTCTTTTGAGGTACAGTCCAAATTCCTCCTGTGAAAAACCTGATCTAGATATACTAGCTGGGATTCATCTGTTACAGTACTTGCCACAATTTGTTTAAGCTGAAGTTGTTTTCACCTGTCTTTGTACCTGTAGTGGATTCCATAATACCTCCCCCTACCCAAAACTATGATCCTGAGTTCCTTTCCAGCCCTTACTCTACGTGTGCCTGCTGAGTTGGATACAGTTTCATAGAAGCCTTAAAAAGTCTCTGAGTTATAATATTTCTGTTATCAAATGTAGCATTTGATTCAAAAAATGGCACTTCCACTACAGATCCATGTACTAGTTTTCTTCATGGTCAAGCAGATCCTTGCTCTGGGCAGAGAACTATACTAAGAGCAATATTTATTTTGGTAAAGGTAAAAGTTTCTTAGCAAAAACTGTACAAGTCTTACCAGCAGAAGACTTGAAAAATTTCAAAAAATAAATAAATGAAGAAACCAACAACAAAAAGCTAGGCAGCTCATCTTTCCCCAGGCTTGTTCATTCTTGGGAAATGGGGGTTCTCAAAAAGCCATTATTATTCTTCACACTTCTGGAGTGGCTTTAAGCCATAGGCCCTTTTTGTTTCACACACGCTAATTAAATTTCCCAACACCTCAGTCCCTGCTTCCAGCACTCAGCACCTCACTGGAGCCCTTGATGCCAAAGGGGGAAGAGCGTGTCCCCAGGAGGTGGGGGGTGGCTGCAAGGCCATGGAAAGGTTGCCATAGCTAGGAGCCTTCCCTACGTTTGAGTCTACAGCACTCCTCTTTTCTGAAAATGTAACCCACCAAGAGCCAGCATTTTCAATCCCTGACGTGAAGTTAGACCAGGCTTTGCAGGGATTAAGTCTTGCTTTCATCAAATGGTCACCTCAGCGAGTTTGCAGACTGCATTCCAGGACTCCTTAAAATCAGAGCCATATGCTAATCTATCAGGCAGGTTGGCTTGTCTGTCAAGCTCCTTCACCTGTGTCTATCAGAAATGTGCAAGGATACCTGACTTGGTACAGCTGATATGTATGTCATGAAATAGGGAAGATTTCAGCTGTCAACTAAAAAGGGTTTTGTAAAAGTAGTGCTTTTTAAAAAGTGAACAATTGTTTTTCAGTAATTTAAATTAACATTGAAGTCATATATCAGATAGAGTCCACTTTGCTATCATTGCAGCCACCAGAATTTGTCTCTTGTGAGTGCTTGCAGAGAGTCTTTGCACAGCATCCTTTGCTTCATAAGCAGTATTCCCTGAATAGGCGATATGAGAGTTATTGACCATTTTTCCCAGCTTCTAGAACACTGACTAATTGATGCACATTTGTTGACAACATGCATGAACTTTTATTATTGTATATAAAAGATAGCATCAGAGGAAGTAATTCTCTGAGAAACCTTAGTATTCATTATTTTAACAGGACCAGAAGCTCCCATGAACACAAACCTGGTGTGTGTTCTCACCTAGGTGAGAGCAGACAGCAGTGTGTGCAGTTCAGTGGGAGCCCACAGATGGGCAGTGACAGGAAGAGGGACTTTAATCACCAGGGAAGATCACAGGCATGAATGGGTGCTCTCACCTCCTCCTATGGTGGGTCCTCCTCAGGGCCTCCCTTGGTTTCAAAGCAATTCTTAACAATTTTCACAAGTCTTCGTGTGGAAAAAACACTTTTATTGTGGCAGAATATTAAGCTGTTAGTAATAACACCAGGAGTGTTCCTAATTTATGCATTTCAGTTGTTTAAATCCCAGGTTGCTTTGAGTACAAACAATGCTTCATGGTGAGCCAAATTTACTGCTCTTTCTATGCCTTAGAAACTGTCCAAACACTGACAGTAAATAATTAGAAATTCTGGTAAATGCATAGGTTCAGGGTTTAAGAAAAAATCTACAGAGAGCAAGGAAGCTTCCATCTTAGCCTGTCAGAAAAAAGATTCACTTTTACTTACAGCAGCAGACTTGACTCAGAATGGGCTCTCTCCATTGTCTGAACTCTAAGGTGAAAGCAGCAAACTTGACTCAGAATGGGCTCTCACCATTGTCTGAATTCTAAGGTGAAAGCAGCAAACTTGACTCAGAATGGACTCTCGCCATTGACGGCACTCTAAGGTGAAAGCAGCAAACTTGACTCAGAATGGGCTCTCGCCATTAACTGAACTCTAAGGTGAAAGCAGCAAACTTGACTCAGAAGGGGCTCTCGCCATTAACTGAACTCTAAGGTGAAAGCAGCAAACTTGACTCAGAATGGGCTCTCGCCATTGACTGAACTCTAAGGTGAAAGCAGCAAACTTGACTCAGAAGGGGCTACTGAACTCTAAGGTGAAAGCAGCAAACTTGACTCAGAATGGGCTCTCGCCATTGACTGCACTCTAAGGGAAGGCGTGTCTTGTTTTCGACTGAATCTGTAACCTCCAAGCTGTGGCTTGAAATCTAATCTTACTTACGAAAGAGTCTTTAAGCATTTATGAAAGAGCCTTTAAGCATGACAACTCTACATTGAGAAACTCACCATCATTTCCCAATTTCAAGAAATAAATATCAGAAATAGCCACATTTCCTTATAAATTAACTTTTCTCTGTTTTATTCAGTTCCCATTTTACTGAAAAATATTTAATTGATCCTTGTGCTTCTGGTATATGGGGAAATAGATCAAGTTCTGGGGCAGATGGATGTTTTGTGTCAGATGTAAAAATTTACAAGGCTCCAAACAAAGCACAGTTGGTTGAGCTGTTCTGGAAAACACCTGGGCCCCTTAAGACACAGAACCATTAAAGAAATTCCCTTGACAGCAATGCAGTTGGCCCTAATGTTTCGATTTTGTGTTTCTTCAGCTTTAGAAACAACAGCTAGAAGAAGATGATGCTGTTTATTTCAAGATATTTTTCATACAACATTTAAGATGTTACAGATGCAACATTTAAGATGATTACAGATGTTAACATAACCCTTAAGTTGAGCTGGACCTGAGTAGGGAGAGGAAGAAGATACCGCATCCCAAGTCTATTAAAACCATGACTGGGCTGCAAGAGATTTACTACAGAGGAATTGCTGAAGGTCGGGTTAGTAGCTGGCTTTCAGGTCGTTGTAAAGCAAGGTAGAAAACCAGCCGACACAATGCCAGTGAATTTTATGTTGCCAGCCCACCTAATGTCAACGTGTTTTGTTTGGCTGACCTAATGTTGTATTTGTTTTAATTGTAATTTAAATGTGTTTAGGAAAGACAGGCCTTGTCCTTCCCACCATTCCCTGTTATTAATATATCATATCTGATAGCTTTCTACAGTTTGTGTCATTGCTCTGGTCCCTGAAGGCTTTTGAGTTTGCAAACCCTGTACTAGAGGCTGCAGCCAGTTTTATATGCATTAAGTATTAGTTAGATCTTTGAACATGGGCTTGGAATTAATAGTCCCTTCAGTCTCAGAAGGAAGATACTTCCCCATTATATGTGTTTTCAGGTTTCATTGCAGCAGAAAAAAAAGAGAATGTCCACTTCCCTCATGACTGAAACCAAAGACTTAGAATAAAGGTCATTTGACTTAATGGACTTGAATTCAGCTGAATACCCACTCCTGAATTGCAACCCAGAGTAGCATATGCTTATGGCTTAAGACAGTTAGGGCCCACACCGACC